TATTAACCTGATTTATTTCAAGTAAGCAAGAGAGGAAGAATTCAGATGGAAGGAACCTTCCATCAAGTTGCAGTTACTCTTTTCACTGCCAGCTGAAAAGCACTTGATAGCAAGCTTGTAGAGAATGCAACTGTGTTATGAATAGTTGAGAGATCTATTAAAAAGGGTGAGTTATTTATTCACTCTGGATGAAGATGGTTGCTGCATTCTTAAAAATCTGTTTGCTGAAAGAGCCTTTGGTAACAAATATTTTGTCTTTCTAAGTCAGTGAGTTGTATAATCTGTGCCAAACATCCATACAAAAGGAATGTAGCATTCACTATCTGCAAAGGGGATAACAAATATAGATGGCTGAGGAGTTGTTTAATCCTGCTTCCCTTTCTGATGATAGATTATCTCCATCTAGACAGCTGCAAGGAAAAACTGCACAGGAAACTTCCAAATGTCTATGGATTAACTAAATTACTTTGACCATCCCAACTGTTCCTTATCACAAAGAAGAGGAATGGAAGAAAATACTGGTGCCGATGCCTTCTGGGCACTGAGATTTAATGCTATTAGGAACAAAGGAAACACTGTCATTACAAACTCAGCCCTTTGACGGTGAAAAGATTAAAAATTTCATCCTATCCAGAACAGAAAATCTATGTGGATCCTTGTATTTTTATTAGATGGATTTTTGTATGAAATAAGCTACATTCACGTAAGCTGTAAGAATCAGCATGCTGGGACACTGATCTGTCTTACCCTCCTAAATCTTTGATTGTTTTTCTAAATAAATCAGCCCAGGACTTGGGCAGGTGACCTCAGAGCAGACGTGACCCGTGAGCCTTTCAGTGGCTGATTCAAATCTGGGTCTAGATCATGAAGGCTTATGGGAGTCTGTTATGACCTAAAAACCCCAACAATTTAACTAAAAGGTAAGTTGAACCTTAGGTGACCATTTTCACATCACTGCGGGTGAAGTACGGGGGAATAGATTGCTTGGGAATGCAGGGAATTCCACACCCCTCTCACTATAAAGATCAGGCTAGACACTTTGCATGACTGTGCTTTGAATTTAGACATGCAAACTATATATATGTAATTTAAAGTACGTTTTCTGTATAGTTTAATTAAATGGTACTGAAGTATGTCTTAAGTAGCAACTATCTGGCTGTTTAAGAGATACTAGACTGGAACAAAACAGGGAGATTTATTCCAATCTGGGTCCTGCATTTTCATCGACTCACAGAATCATGGAATACCAGGTTGGAAGGATGTCAGGTATCATCTGATCCAACCTTTCTTGACAAAAGCATGATCTAGACAAGATTGCCCAGCTTAAAATTGTCTAAACTTGAGGAATACAGCACTTCCTGGGGAGATTATTCGAACGGCTGGTTGTTCTTATTGTGAAAAATATTAATCTTGTATCTAATTGGAATCTTCCTCAGGAAGAAGGATTCCTTACAGTCCTTCCCTGCTTCCCCACGGGGTCCGTCCCATGGGAGAGAGTCCTCGATGAACCTCTCCTTCATGAGTCCTTCCCACGAGGTCCGGAGCTGCTCCAGCCTGGGCTTCCCACAGAGTCAGGAGCTGCTTCGGGAACAAACTCCCCTGGCACCGGGGTCTTCCATGGCTGCATCATCCAAGTTCACTGGCAGCAAATCCAAGTTCACCCCTCCTGGCACTTTCAGGGAATGTTCCACTACTTCACTCCTGGGAAGTGTGGTACCTTCCAACCTGGTATTCCATGACTCTGTGAGTCGATGAAAACGCAGGGGCACAGCTGCCATCTCGCCACGGGCTGCGGGGAAACTTCTGCTTGGGCACCTTCTTCCTCACCAACCAGAGGCACTGCTCTGCCTCTCCAGCTCAGGTCTTCTTTTTTAACTGCTCGCTCTGCTCTGCACATCTGTTGTCTCTCCAATGGCTCCTTGGCTGGGTTTGGAGCTGGGGGAGCTTCTCACCGGAGCCACTCCTGGAGCCCCTCCCCCGCTACGAAAACACTCACCAAACCAACCAGCAGAATTACGTTTTTATCTTGTTCTCTTTATAAATACCATATATTCTTTCAGGCTTGCTGCCAAAAATATTTTGCTGTTATATGAGGTGTTTATAAGCACTTGCTCCCACTACTTTTTATGAAAGGAACAGTAAAAATCACAGTGATTAGTGTGTCTGCAACTTAGTGGGCTGTGAAGGGAGAGAATAAATGCAATTGCTAAATAATTGTAATATGTTGTGCAGAACAATTCCTCTCTTAATCATTCTGTGTAGGGATAAACTGTTTAACCACCACTGAGCAGGCATGCTTCAAAGTTCAGTAATTTAAGACAGAAATATGCAATACTGACATCTGCAGTGTGTTATTTCAGAAGCGGGGTCGCTTGTGGTGTCACTGGCTACTGCTGAAGAATCAGGTCTCTTCATGCCCTGGCCAAGACTAACGCGGGCAGAAGCAGCTGGTTAAAAACGTATACAGGCCTGAGCAGGCCGAGCAGCCCAGGAGCAGCGCGGCAGCCGGGTGCCCACAGCTGCCCCTTGCCCGTTCCCCTGTGCCAGGCATCCTGACTAACCCTTCCCTCCGTGTCTCCTGCAGAGCCCCCGGCGGGGCCTGTGCAGAACGACCCGTCCCGTCCCCGCACGCACCCCGCAGCACCGGCCCTTATCAGCGCTGCCCCTCTGGCCGCGGCGCCG